TCAATGTAGCAGTGGACGCTTCACCAAAGTAGTCGATCACTCTCATACAAAGTAACTAACATCAAAAACAACTGAACGTTAACGAGTCATTATGAACTAAGGCTGCTAGTCGACCACTGACTCAGTTGTTTGCACCAGTTGACTAGTGAGACCTAACAGTTCGACTTGGCAGCAAGAAAACTTTATAATTCTGACTAGTTGATTAGTTTGCACATTTCTGTCCTGACTGCATCTAAACTTAGTAAATTAGGCTCCAAAACATTACCTAGTCAACTTGTGTGACTAAATATGGCCTTACTCGATAACCAGTGCCATAACAAGTGTCAACTGGTTAACAAACATTGTTTTGGAGTTCATTAGTTAACTACTCAATCTGTCAAATACACTGTTCACCTTATTGACATATTTTTGAGCTAGTTAAATATTAATCATGACAAAAGATTTGTCAACTACTTGACCAGTCAGTTTTTTAGAGCAGTGGTTCTCAACCTTTGCGACACGGTGGTACAGTTGGTAGAGCTGCTGCCTCTCAGCGAGAAGGTTGTTGGATCAAATCTCTAGGGTCCTTGTGTTTGCATGTTCTCTCTGTGCATGCGTGGTTTTTCTCTGGGTCCTCCTGTTTCTTCCCACAGACCAAAAACATGTATGTTAGTCTGACTGGTAACTCTAATTTGTCTCTAGGTGTGAGTGAGAGACTCAATAGTTGTTTGTCTCATTTGTCTCTGTGTGTCCCTGTGATGGACTGGAGACCTGTCCAGGGTGTCCCCCACTTCTCACACAGTGACTGCTGGATATGACCCTTATTATTAGACTTTTATTTATACAGGTTAGTTCCCATTGAGCCTCGAAGACTCATTTACAAGAGAGACGTGGACCATCATGACCCAGAAAGGAAGAAGATGATGGATGGTTCCAGTCCTGGTCCTCAATGAACACTGTCCTGCATGTTTCAGTTGTTTCTCTGCTCCAATACGCCTGATTCAGTGATTTAATGACTTCCTCATGTTCTTCACAAGTCTGTTAATCACCCATTCACTCAAATCAGGAGTGTCAAAGCAGCGAACTAAAACATGCAGGATGGTGTTCCTCAAGGACCAGGGTTGGGAACCACTAATTTTTGGAGTGTACTAGTTGACTAATTACATTTTTAGGTTGCACTAATTATCTAGTATGTATAATTTAATAAGTAGGGTATGTTTAATAGTTAACTTGTACAATTAAATAATTGGTCCAGTGGTCCACAGTGTGTTTAAAGCCAACTAGTTAGGAATTTTACTCTGCTAGTACAGAGCAACATGACTGACTACTTTTTTTGCTTCACCTAGTTGAGCAAAAGTGCTGCTAGTTTGCTTAAAAGTGTTACTAGTTATTAGTTGAACTAGTTTAACAAATGTTCAATTGGTAAAGATGCTAGACATCAAGGATGTTGAGTAAAGACAAAAACGGCTTGCTAAAAGCTGTTAACTAGTACATTGAATGTCTTTTTTTTTTTTAATGCTCAGGAGTTTGTTTAACAAAACAGTCCAGAAATGAAACCTACAATATCTGGTTTTGTGTCAGAAACTAACCAACCCAACCGAGGGTCTTCAGATCTGATTTCTTTTTCTCTTCAATAAACTAATCAACAAGATAATCAATAGTATTTCTAGTCAATTTAAGTCAAACATTTAACTTGTTTTCTGGGTAAAATAAATAAAAAAGCTTTTGATTTACTGTAATGACCCAAGCGGATCGGTTTCAGCCATTTGTTCCTTCAGTCATGTTCGGAGGTTCATTCTGTTTTTAATCACTGCTGCTCCTTGTTCCAGTTCTTATCCAGACCATCATTGTCAATGAGAACTGGTCCTCAACTGACCTACCTGGTAAAATAAAGGTTATAATAATTATTATTGATATTTGCCTGAAAATATTAGGTTTTAAACTTCCTGTTTGTCCACCTGCTCCTCTGGACTCCTCCTGACCTTGAAGTTGTGACGTCAGTGAGAACTTATTTGGCTTCTTTCTGAGCTCAGTGAAACAGCTTCTACCTGCAGCTCATAGCTCAAATAACAGAATCATTAAAGGCTGAGCGTTCTTTCAAGAAACAGATCACCTGCTGCCTTTAAGGCCAGCTTGGTAAACAAGGACCATCTTTTAGTTTGGGCTGTAAATGACATTAATGCATGATCTGATGCCGTATAACAAGATCTCGTGACATCTGTTGGTGCTCAGTGTGTGTGTTGAGGATGACTCTCAGCTACTGACACATCAAACTTTAGCTCAAAACCTGTCCAGTTGACTAAATCCTTCACTTTTGTGTTTGTAAGGCTGTGGACTCCAGAGTTAATGGTTTGTAGATGTGCATCCAAGATAAAAAGGGCAGTGCTTCTCTGTGCTTTACATTAAACCAAAATAGAGTCATGAATATTTCAGTGTCCAGAAAGAGTGAATACACAGAAGTCATTCCAAATTATAACAAGTGGCGTGACGGGACTGAACTCTGCTGAGTCACTGAAAATCTGGTCCCTGAGTGGGACTAAGCTCTTCTGTTCACAACATGGGGATCATAGTGGATGTTGTTTAGGTTTAAAGCAGCAGGTGACGGTGAAAGGCTGTATTTATGTCTGCATGACACCACAAGAATTATCTTTTAAAATCATGCACTTTTTAATTTTTTTAATCAAAGGAGGGTCTCGGTTAAAGCAGAGAAATCATCTTTTATGAGGAGAATTTATGTTTGCTCTGTTGAGCCACAGGATCATGAGTGGGAATTAATCAAAAATATCAAATAGGCAACAGACATTATTTACCTGAGAGGTTTAGAAATAGAAATGTAAATACTAATTTCTTGTTTTGAATCATATACTGCAAATTTGACAAATTATATACATTTAGGACAACATGACGAGTTGTCTTTTACTTAACAAACTTTTGTTTTCATTGATTTACTCCAATTGTGGGGCGGCTCGGTGGTGCAGTTGGTAGAGCTGCCGCCTCTCAGCAAGGTCGCCGGATTGAATCCAGGCCGTGGGGGCTTTCTGGGTGGAGTTTGTATGTTCTCTCCGTACACGTGTGGGTTTTCCCCGAGTACTCCGGTTTCCTCCCACAGACCAAAAACATGCATGTTAGTCTGATTTTTTTCATTCAACCTTTATTTAGACAGGTAAATCCCATTGAGCCCCGAGGACTCATTTACAAGAGAGACCTGATCGATGACTAAATTGTCCCTAGGTGTGAGAGTGAATGATTGTTTGTCTCGCTTGTCTCTATGTGTCCCTGTGATGGAGACTTGTCCTCTTGCACAGTGATGGCTGGACATGGGCACCAGCGACCCCCGTGACCCAAAATGGAATAAACGGGTAAAGATAATGGATGGATGGATGGTTTCAAAGTAAAATGGTGCTACACCGCCATCTTCTGGCTGCTTGGAGTACTACATGGGTCACAGCAGTGAGAAATCATCATGGTCCATTTGTTGAGCTCTGTCTGCAGAACAGCTGGGAATTAAATAAATGCACATGTACTCTTATTTTTGTGTTTCAGTTTTATTTAAAGTTTTCAATAACAAAAAAATAAAAACACAAAAGATTTTTAAACATGACTTTTTTTTTCTACCAAACATCTGTATACAAAATATTTTAAAACAATAAAAAGCCTTCATTTAAAAATAAAAGGAATCAAATTAACTTAACGTAGAAGGTTTCAGATCAATAAAAACGCAGCGGTCCAGAACTTTGATGACTGGTAATTTCCTCCTTGGTTTGAAAACTCTTGTTAGACGATATAAAAAGGCCACTTCAGACCACATAAAAAGTGCTATCCCCTCAACACAATACCCCAAAAACGCAGCTAAAAGTGTACGTGAAATGTAGTGGAAGTAGTACAATAATGAGGAGAGGAAATGTTTTTAAAGGAAGAAGGAGTTCATTGATTAAGGATGGTTTTCAGACCAAAGATGCTTTGAATTCAGAACAGCGTCTTAAACTTCAGTCTCTGACGTTACTAATAATAAAATAAAAAAACAGAAAGCATTGTGGTCACACAGCAGCTGTTTTCTCACTGTTATAAAAATACAGTCAAAAGAACAACTTTTAATATTAAATGCCAACATCAGGAGCTTCACTGAAGGGTTGTGAGTCTCTGTTAGAGAAATACAAACAGAACTTCAAGAGTGAAGAGAGCTTCACCTGAAGGGTTTCCATTTCTCTGATTCAGATCTGAATAGAGCCGACGAGCAGCGATGGATGCTCGCTTCTCTCTGCACGTTGTGAACAGAGGAAGCAAAGAACAGTAGGACTCTTAAAACAAGACCATGTGGGTGAAAACGTTCCCGTGTAAAACGCTGACCGAGCGCTCAAGTCCCATAATCCCTTAAAGACATATGTACAGTTTAACAACACACACACATGAAGTGAGGAGGACAAAACGACATTAACACGTCGCACACACACGTTCTTCATGTAGAACTGTTTGTTTTAAAGACCCAACAGGAAGAGAGTGAGACTCAGAGGATGATGGGTAACAGTGGGGAGGGTGTGTGTGGTGGGGGGGTCAGCAGAGGTTAATATCAGGGTTACTGGGTGCAGAGGGCTGACTGGAAGAGCAAAAACCTCCACCGCAGCAGCTCTGGCCCCAGCCCGGCCTCCACCCACAGCACCAAAAATACTGCGCAGGAACACACACACACGCACGCACGCACACACAGATCTGCATGTAAAAACTCCATCTACCACCAAGAGAACCTCTTCCTCGACTAAAGCTAACCAATAAAAAATAAACAAACATTTTATGGTGTTGAACGACAAAATCCCTAAACTTCCAACTAAACTTTCAACTAAACACAAAAGATAAAACGATGAACTTGTGTTTGACAAGAGTCAAGCCTGACAGAGGTGCACGTGTGCGAGAGAACTTTACACAGCTGTGCCGACACAAGGAGCTCCAACGGTGGAGACAGCTGTGTGTGTGTGTGTGTGTGTGTGTGTGTGTGTGTGTGTGTGTGTGT